AGGGTATGTAGGCTCCCCATCCTAATCTCAAACAAACCCCACTTCCTGCCACAAAAACACAATTAAAATAAAGATCCACAATTTGAAATTGAAAATCCAAAGTTTACTAAGGTAAAACATAAAACAAAAGTTAAATTGGTGCTGATTGGGTTTTATACCTCTACAAAATATAATAAATTGTAAATTAACTTCAACCTTTTAAAAAAATTCATCAATTAGGAAACCTCCATGTTCTTAATCAATACAGGGCTCAAATAAGAATTATACCTACAGACACCACAAAATATAAATACAGTACCTCCTATGATCTTAGGGAGAGGCTATATAAACCTTATATGCTTTCTTTTAAGCATAAAAGAAAATCATCTTTCCTAAATTCTCTATAATTACGGTACCCATTGGGCTAACATATCACATAGTGGGCAACATAGTGATTCCCTAACTCAATAAGCAATAAATTAAAATTAAATGTTTGCAATGTCCAAATGTTATAGACAAAACAGAAACACCTGGAACCCACAAATTAAGTTAACTTGTCTGAATGTATTTTTTTTTGAATAGGTACATATCTGGATGATTATTAGGTATTGATTTATTTCATCAATAGCTATAGATCTATTCCAATTACCTGTTTCTCTTTTAGTAGACTGTGTCTACTGCGGTTTTAGTAGATTGTGCCTTTCAAGAAATTAGCCTAATTGATCTATCAGATTTGTGGGCATAGAGTTCTTTATAATATTTATGTTTTGTTCTTTTGATGTGTATGGGATCAGATATGATGACCTCTCATTTTTGATATTAGTAATTTATGTCTTTTCTCTTTCTCTCCTTTTCTTTCTGTTTTTGTTACCTTAGCTTGATATTTATCAATTTTATTGATCTTTTTATTTTTATTGATTTTGTCTGTTGACCTGCTATTTTCCATTTTATTGCTTTGTGATCTAAATATGTTTTTTCTGACTGATATAAATTTATGTTGCTATTCTTTAGTGTCCTAAAGTGGAAGATCACATCATTGATTTTATATTTTTCTTTGTTTCTAATGTATGCATTCAGTGCTATAAAATTTTCTCTAAGCATTGATTTTGTTGCATTCCACGTATTTTCTTAACACATATTTTTCCTTTCAATATGTTTAAAACACTAATTAAATTTGAAAAAAAGGAAATTTTACTATGTTTGTCCTCCAGTGTGACAATATTAATTACAGTTCAGAGGTTTGGCAGCAAAAGAATAGAAACAATTCAAATGTCTATCTAGAAAGAATTAGTTACATGACTTAAACATCATGCACACCTATGTAAAAGTGAGGACTACCATTTACTAATATAAAAATAATCTGCTGGATTGATCAGTGAACAAATGTATTGCAAATGTATACAACATCTTACCTTCTATAACTGTTATGGTCATCTGCAGAGGCAAGTGACCCCACGTTTCAGTTGGGGCCATCTGTTGAGACTGCTGAGGCTAATTACACACCAAGAAGGTATGAAAAGTTTAACTTTCATAATTGAGGTAACTGGGGAAAGCAGGCCACTCAAATAGGTGCGAAGTAGTTTGAGAGAATAAGGAAATGAGACTGGCCTGGGGTTTTGATTTGGTTAGATTGGGACCAATATGAGAGTTTTTCTGCACATGTTCTCAGGCAGGGGCTTCTGTAGTTTGATTCTCCAGCTGCAACCAAAGAAGGAAGCACCCAGTCTTCTTTATGACTTTGTCAACAAGTGGGGCACAAGTAGAAGTGGTGAGGCTTAAACTCTGTCATCAGTGAAATCTCAGATGGTGGACTTCTGGTTTCTGGTCAACCATTTAAGCAGCTTAAAAGTCACCATTAGTGTCTATTTAAGAAAAAAAAATCTGAACTAATTTGAAGGCAATAGCCTTTCTTAGATCCATCAGAAATCTGAGATCACAAAGGAAATTTCTGTCCCAAAATTCCAGACACAGACAAAAAGTTACATAGAATCACAACTGACTAGAGTAAAAACTCATGAGGATATACCTCTGTGTGAGTCTGTACATAAGTTGGAAAAACCAATGTTTAATTGGCAAATTATTAAAAGCTGAGTTTGGACAAATTTTACAGTATAAAATAGGATTGGATCAAGTTTTAGGCATCCCCACAAGCTTATGAGTTTTACATGCAGAAAATATTCTGCATTTATGGTGAAGATCAGAGAATAATCTGTTTGTGCTTCTAGCAGGGGAAGGGGAAATTATGCCTTAAGGAATGCAGCCATTTTCATGTATGTCCAGAGCATTCTATACTTTTAAACATGATATGCCCTCAAAACAATCTATCTCATCAAAGCCTAAGTGACTGGGATTTTACCAGAGCCTAACTGACCCAGGCAAAGCAAATATTCCACCTCAACCCCCTCCACCTTTCTGCTTCAATTAAGGGTGGAAAGACTGAAAAGCATTTGTGAAAGGGACAGCCCAGGTGCACCAGCTCACAAAATTAAAACCAAATCGCAGGATTATAGCATATTTTTCTCCACTCCAATATAACAACATGTCAAAGGGGCTTCTGTATAATAATAGGATCACACCCAAAAGAACTGCATGTCTGAGAACATTAAGAAGTTTTCCAGGGATGTATAAACAAATTGGATAGCCTATGTAAAATGCACCAATTCTAGAAATATACAATATACCAAGACTGAATAATAAAGGAAGAGAAGATTTGAACAGACCTATATCTAGGAAAAAGATTGATGTAATAATTAAAAAAAAAAAACAAACTCCCAAAAAAGAAAGATCTAGGGTCAGATGGCTTCACAGTTAAATTACACCAAATATTTGAAGAAAAATTTATGCTTAAAATTCTTAAAAATCTTCCCAAAAATTGCAGAGAAAAGTTTTTTTCTAAATCTATTCTGTAAGGGTAGCGGTACACTAGGCAGACAAAGACAATATAAGGAAACAAAACTACAGACAAATACACTTGATGAATATTGATGGAAATATCCTAAGAAAAATACTAGCAGAGAGTACATAAATAATGAATACAGTATTCAGCAGCATATTAAAAATATTACACACCATGACCACATAGGATTTATTTCTGGAATGTAAGGATGACATATGGAAATAAAGCAATGCACTACATTACCAGAATGAGAGAAAAAAAATCAATCATCTCAATTGATGCAGAAACACTCATTATAGGTACACTCAGTGAACTAAGAATAGAAGAAAACTTCCTCAACATCATAAATAACATATATAAAAAATACTTAGCAAATTACAATTTCAGAGCTGGTGTACAAAAATCTGACCCCTTAGTTTAAGGAGTGGCCTTGCAGGCCTCATATGACAGGCCTCATCAGGAGACTCGCTCTCTGCAGAGCTCTCCCAATAGATCCTGCACAAACATGGAACCTGTCAGTAGACTTGCTGAAATAGGGAGTCCTGCCTATCGGCCCCACTAAACGTGCAGCCCCTGTAGAGTCACCCCAACAGGGAGCCCTGCAAGTGGCTTTTCCTATTGCTAACCAAGGATACTACACCTTGTAAACTATCATTCAAAAATAAAGATCTTTCCAAATAAATAAAATCTGACAGTGACTAGACCTGCCTTTCAGGGATTACTAAAGGAGTTTTTACAATTGAAAAATGTATATGGCAAAAGCAGTTTGATGGCATGTAAACATATAAATATCTCTGATAAATATATAGCTGAACACAAAATATAACACTGCAATGGTGGCATGGCACACTACTTATGATTCTGATATACTTGAAAAGACAAAAGTATTAAGAATAAGTATATCCACAAAAATCTGTTATTGGATACACAATATAAAAAGATGTAAACTGTGAAATCAAAACATAAAGTGTTGAAGGGGGAGTAAAAGTGCATAGACTTTGTATGCAAAATTCAGTTGTCTGCTTAAAATAGACTTTTATGAGATGTTTTATTAAAACTTCATGGTAACCACCAAATAAAAACTTATAGTAGATACACAAGAGAAATGAATGAATGCATAATACTGCAAAAAAAAAAGTCAAGTCACAAAAGAAGACAACTAGAGAGAAAGCAAGCAATAAATGATCTACGAAACAGCCCGAACTCAATTAACAAAATAGAACTAGTAAGGTCTTGCCAATCAACAGTTGCTTAAAGGTAAATGGACTCAATTAATCAAAAGACATGGAGTGGTTAAACAGAGTATAGAACAAACAAACATAGACAATTGTAAACTGCCTTTAAGAGATGTACATCATCTTTAGGGATACACACAGGCTGAAAGTGAAGGAATTGAGAAGATAACGTCATGATCAGGAAGCTTCAGCACATAATATACAAACAGTGTCATTTTAATAGTCTGTAGTGTCACCTACATATTATTCTGAAGACAAGGCTCTAAAACTGGAATATCCATGGGAAAAAACGAATAATAAAAATTGGATTTTCATGTATTCCCATAGGGCCTGTCCAGCTTGGCTTCTTTTTTTTTTTTTTTTTGAGACAGAGTCTCACTCTGTTGCCCAGGCTAGAGTGAGTGCCGTGGCGTCAGCCTAGCTCACAGCAACCTCAAACTCCTGGGCTCAAGCGATCCTCCTGCCTCAGCCTCCCGAGTAGCTGGGACTACAGGCATGCGCCACCATGCCCGGCTAACCAGCTTGGCTTCTGAAGAACAGTCCTGAGCATCTTCATAAGTAGCTAAAATCCAGCGAGCCACGTTGCCCAGAAGAAGGGGGGTAAAGCCCAGAAAATCCAGACTCAATGTGACCTGACTGACTTATTTCCCAGGAAAACTGCACAAGAGAAAAGTCATTCATGCTCCCGTAGCTACCACGTCGAAGGGATGGAGGGGGTTCACAGCGGGACGAACCCCAAAGCGGCCAGCAGAGGTAAGCGGGGCGGGGACATGGGGTGGATGCCAAAGGCCCGGGCCGGGTTCTGCCCCGCCCTGGCGGAGCGGCTGTCGGGGCGGGGCGGCCGGGCCAGAGGGGGTAGGGGTGCGGGCTGCACGGCGGCGCGCACTTACCAGAGCTGTTGGCCCCTCCTGCCGGGACGGGCAGCTCGGCGCGGGGCCGCGAGCGCCCCTGGCAGAGCTGGAGGAGGCGGGCCTGGGCCTGGCTCACGGCTGGGGCAGGCACAGCAGCGCAAAGGTGGGCTCACGCCCGTTCCGGCCCGCCAGCGCCCCGACCCGGTCGCCTGACGGCAGTTCGCAGGCCGCCCCGTCTACAGAGCCCCCTGCGCCCCGCCAGTCCAGCCCACCCCAAGGTTCGGCGGAGCCGCGTTCCCGTTCCGAGGAGGCGCTGCTGCCGACGCCACAGGGGCTGCCTCGGGCCCTGCCTCCCTCCTCTGGTTTCTGATGCGTTCCGGCGGTTCTGGCTGATTTCTCCAGAGACATGATCGACAGCAGCACGGAAATGTTTCTTTAATAAAAGAAAAGGACTTTAAAAAATCTCCCACAAGGCGCACACACTGAATGAAGAATGCTCTCTCTCTTCCCCTTTCTTGCAGCTTCGGGCGGTGATTTCCACCGTCGGATGCGGGACGCGGGCTATTCCGGTCCGGGGAAAGGCGAGGAGCCTCCGCGTCCCCAGGTGAGGAGACCCGGCGGCTTCCTGTCGCCGCCGCAGCCAACCGCCGCTGCTCCCCGCACGCCCCCCGGTGGCCTTGGGCGCCGTGCCCGCGAACGCCAGCTCCAGCGACAGCTTCCCCGCGCGGAAAGCTGGCGGCGCGGCGGCGAGGGGCGCGGGGGCGGGTAATGGAAAGCGGAGGCGGAGGCAGCGGAGCCGAGTTCCTCCCTCCCTTCCTCGCTCTCTCCCTCCCGCGGGAGCAGCAGCCCAGCGGCGGCGCTCCGCCTACGGCAACAGCCGGCACCGCCACCGCCAGGCGCCCCTCTGGATTAGGCCGTGAGCAGCCGCAGCAGCTCGAGACAGAAGTAAATTCTCCCCGCCCAGAGCCCGCGCCCGCCACGCCGCTGCTCCAGCCCACCGGGAGGTGTCCCGGGCCCGCGTCGCTCGGAGCGGTCAGGTGTGCGCGTGTGCGCACGCGCGTGTGCGGTCGGGCCTCTTGCCACCGCCCGGGGACTTCTGTCCCGCCCGGCTCCAGGCCCGCGCGTCCCAGGCAGCACGGCGGGGCTCACGCCGGGCGCGGGGACAGCCGGACGCCGCAGCACTGCTTCCTTCGGGGGTCAGGCGGCCCGGGCGCCGCCGGCACACGACCCCCGCCGCAAAGGAGGGAGTTCGGCTTCGGCGGTTTCCCCAGGCCTACCCGGGTTTGGTGGTCGCCGGCGGCGGGGAGAGCCCAGCGGCCCAGTCCTTGGCAGGGGGTGAGGGGGGCGGGCGGCGGAGGGGTGTTCGTTCCCAACCTCTTCTTTCCCGGCTCCCAGAACTTCTCGTGCCCAGGGGGAAGCCCCGGGAAGGGAACCCCCAGTGACCGTCGGGGGCGGGAGGGAGGGGCGCTCACCTCCGCGCGGCTGCTCCTGGCGCCTCGGCCCCCCAGCGCGGGTCTGGGGACGCGATGGCTCTCGGCGGGGTGGCGAGAGCCCGGGCGGGGGTCGCGGGCCGTGGGTCGGGGCGGGCGGTGCTGCGGGTCAGGGTCGTTGCAGCCGCCGCTGCTTCTGTCTCCAGCGTGGGCTGGCGAGGGACCGGCCCGCCCCAGCCGAGAGCACCGCATGCTACTGATTGACGTGGGCTGGGCCGGAGCCCAGGCCGCCGCGGCGGCAGGCGGGGAGGGGGCCACGGGCGGCTGGGGGCGAAGTTCGGGGAGGCGGATTCCTAAGTGGGGACCAGAAAACCGGGAGGGGAGCGGAGTGAGAGGAGCCGGCTGCTGCAGAGGGGTTCCCAGCATGGAGAAGTTTGGGGAAGGGGAGGGATCCGGTGAAGTCCTCCCCGCCGCTACTCGCGTGTTCTCCAGCCAGCGGAGTCCGGGCAAGAAGGGACTCGGAGGACGCTGGAGCCGGAGCGGTGCTGCCGCACGGTGCTCGCCCCACACAGTGCTCGCCCTTGGGAATGTGGTTTGCAGACTCGGGTGACCCCTAGGCACTTCTGGGGCCCAAGGCGTGACCTGTGGGCGGCGGAGATCTGAGGTCACCGCTGATAGAGCCGGGATGGATCCCTGGGGTCCTGAACGCGAAGGGCTGACGAGGGTGACGGGCAGTGCGCAGGGCTGGACGTGCCACGGCGGTGGGCTCTGTGCGACCCTTCTCCGAGGGCCCGGGCTAGATGCTCTTTGCTCTACTGGAGGGGGGGTGTGAGGGCGGCGCGTGGCCGGCCCAGCACCCCTTCCGGAGCTGCGTCTACAGCGAGCTGGGGCTAGCGTTGCCCTCAGCGACAGGGACAAGGGTGAGGCCACCTGTTGGCACTCTTGAGTTTCCAGGTGCTGCAAACTTTACCTGGTTCTAGAGAGTGCGCAACTTCAAGGCCAGAGGGGCTTCAGAGGTCCTCCCTGTGTGGGAGAATGTAAAGAGGGTGCGCTTCCAGGCACAGGGCAACTAGGAAAGTGCCTTTGGCTCATCTCAAAAGTAGGAGATTGGTTAAAAATACCCTAAAACCTAAAAATCACTGCAGGTCTAATGAGTGGAATATTTACAAGGAGGACTTGATGACGAAATCCGGGCTATCTCTGTTCTCAGAAGAAACACTGAGCTGGTGATTTCCCTTTCCTCTGGGCAAAGGAAGGAGACTGGAGATGAAATGAAAAGCAGCCAGAGAAAAGACCTGGCTGCTTCCCAAAGGGAAGACATGACTCTGAAGGAAGGAACATAATACCATCAACTACTATAAGGTTTTGTATTTAATGTGAATTTTTCCTATATGAATCTGTACCTAGTTATTATAATTAAGAAGTGGCTAAGGCCGGGCGTGGTGGCCCACACCTGTAATCCTAGCACCCTGGGAAGCCGAGGTGGGCAGATTGCTCGAGGTCAGGATTTCGAAAGCAGCCTGAGCGAGACCGGGACTCTACGAAAAATAGAAACAAATTAGTTGGCCAAATATATATATAGAAAAAATTAGCCGGGCATGGTGGTGCATGCCTGTAGTCCCATCTACTCGGGAGGCTGAGGCAGGAGGATCGCTTGAGCCCAGGAGTTTGAGGTTACTGTGCTAGGCTGACACCATGGCACTCACTCTAGCCTGGGCAACAAAGCGAAACTCTGTCTCAAAAAAAAAAAAAAAAAGAAGTGGCTAACAAGTACTAAAGGTCCACGTCACTTGGAAAAGGCATGAAAATAACCTTTCATTAAAGGACAAAGGAGATATTATTATGTCTATGTTCACTATATTCCTACTTATTCATTTGAAAACTACGCATTGTGTACCTACTTTGTGTCAGGCACTGGGTTAGGCAGTAAATACACTGAGTACGCTGGGGCACACCACATGCAGGCACTGAGTACATGATGATGTACTAACCAAACCATACTGTGTGAATAAAAGACAGATTAGATTACCAGATGAATTAATATTCTCTGCATTATTTTGCATTTCTCCCTTCCAGAATCCTGGAATGGAAGAAATTGGTGTCTGCTTAGTGAATAATACTGTTCTTGGTCAAATAACTCAAATATTTTGATGTTTCAAAGATTACTAATTCCAGATAAATTGGTGATAATATTTATAAATCACTGTTTAAGAGGATGTCTAGGTATTGTTTGTCTAGGCATCCTGAGGTATCCATGCTTGTATAGTTTAAATTCATATTTCGTCTAGCAACAAGATAAAACAAACAGAAGAAATACATTGCATATGGAGGCATTAGAACTGTTACCTTTAATCATTTGCTTTATGAATTAGCAAAAGCCTCTGCATAAAGGTAAATAACAATGAATAATTACCATTCAATCATTCACTAAATATATGTTGAACATTCATTCTGTACCAGGTCCTCAAGTTAAAAAAATTTTTTTAATTAGAAATATTGAAGACAGATGGTGTCTTTTATCTAACAAAACCCTACATGTCAAATATATAAAGGATTATTTAATATATAAAGGAAATATATAAACAAAATTTTATAAATTCATTATATATTTTATATATGTGCACATATAGGAAAAAGTGTGAAAAGATTTACAGCAAAATTGTAACTACTGGTGATTTTCTCTGTATGGTAAGATTTCGAATTGTCTTGTTTCTCTATACTTTCTAATTTTTCTATTATAAGTAAACAAAACAAAACAAAACACTGTCTGAGGCCGGCGCGGTGGCTCACGCCTGTAATCCTAGCACTCTGGGAGGCTGAGGCAGGCAGATTGCTCAAGGTCAGGAGTTCGAAACCAGCTTGGGCAAGAGCGCGACCCTGTCTCTACTATAAAATAGAAAAATTAATTGGCCAAATAATATATATAGAAAAAATCAGCCGGGCATGGTGGCGCATGCCTGTAGTCCCAGCTACTGAGGAGGCTGAGGCAGAAGAATCGCTTTAGCCCAGGAGTTTGAGGTTGCTGTGAGCTAGGCTGACGCCATGGCACTCACTCTAGCCTGGGAAACAAAGCGAGACTCTGTCTCAAAAAAAACAAAAACAAAAACAAAACACTGTCTGAGTTTGGGTCTAACTTAAAATTAAATCTAAAAAGTGTCCTAAAGCAATTATATTGTAAAACTTAGGTCTTCGACTCCTAAGAATTATTTATGAGCCTATTTTGCTTCTTACCTAGGTCCTGTCCTAGACTCATTACTCGGTCACCCTGTCTCAGTTGTGGTCTTTCTACTGTCCAGCTCACATATTTTCTGTGGTTTCTGAGTAGACACTGAATACATTCCAGGCTTTTTGGGCTGGTGTACAGCGACTCCAGGATTTGGCCACTACCTGCTCTTCTGGACTTCTCTCCTACATTTCATTCACTGATTCATTCAACAGGAAGTGTTTATTGAGTACAAATCACCATGCTAGGAAAATAGAGGATACAAAGGTAAAAGCCTCCAGTGGGTAGACCAAAGTATGCTCTTGGCATGTGCATGCATACACAGAACACACACCACACACACACTTCACTAAAAAGTTCAATATGAAGTGGGTCTAGGGAGAAGCAACACAGTGTTGGGAGAGACCAGAAAAGGCAGCAATTCTTCAGGGAAATTAAGGAAGACACTAGAGATCAGCTGC